CACGATATTTTCTTTTTCTGTATGGTGTGTACCTGAGCAGTGAGAGGCATGGAACCTCACTAATCCTCGTGCGGATAAAAAGCTGTCCAGCACATCACGTGTTTGTGATATGCACTTTCATGAGGAGGACATTCTGAAACTTTCACTCACGTCATCAATAGTAAGAAGGTACAAACCATCAGAGGCAAGTTGGACCTCATCGAAAGATTCGTTCCACGGATATCGCAAATTCGCCCACTCACCTTTCAAAACCCGCGACAAAGAAGCGAAAGCTGGCCAATACGAGTAGGGTACTTTCCCGAATATCATCAGCGAAAATGAATAGACTATCTTCATGCACCGAGCTCGAAGACAGTGAAATAAGTTCCGACATGCCGTCAACGAGTGGCGTCATAATTTCGCTTCATGACATAGAAAACGTTTGTTCGCCATGTTGGCGGAAATTTGTGGAGAATGGCGAGACAAGACGTCTTGTAGTGTTTCTAGCATTCAAAAAAGAAATAAATAGCACTATTTGTGTAGAAATGCGTAGTCGTCGAAGAAGACATGACAGTCACCGTTAGTAGCCGTCACGATCGTTTAGCCAAGTCGCCCGGCAATGCAGATACCATCACCTAATTGACCGAACTTCTGGAGGACATAGGAAAGCTCAAAGTGTGCTCATGTTGTCCCAATGTGTCAGCAGGCAGCTTCGGGAGTAATGACTACGAAGTTATCACCGATACCCCAAAGTTCCCTGCTCGACGCTTTGGCTTCAGCTGTGTTAACAGGTTTCATTAAAGGATCCCAAGAAGAAGCGGAGAAAAGACATGCTTACAAAAAGCGCTGCACGCGCAGCTTTTCAACGGCCTAAGTTGCTAAAGAATTTGACTGACACGAAAAAAAACTGACTACATAACCAGACAAAAGCCACGGTATTGTGACACATAGTTATAATTTATTTTAAGGCACAAAAGGACAGTCCCAAGTGAGGATACAGGACATTGTAATTGGGTTTTTTGCGCCTAAAATAATTGCGAACGTACACCAACAAGCAACCAACGGACAGACTCGTATGTTATGCTACCAAGCATCGTTTATCGTGGGCAGTTCAGAAAGCCATAATTATACTGTATTTGCCTAAAATATTACGCAGTATACACCGCTAAAATATTACGCAGTATCAAGTTTCTGCGGTAGCACAAGAAACCCTTATAATGTACTGTTGGCAAAGCTCTTTCAGAACGGCCGCCATGGGATCTTGCCACGACGATTGGGAGTTTTCGTTTGCTAGTGCAAGCTTGTTGTCCCACCAGCTCCACCAAACCGAAAGTTGTCTTGGCGTCTTGTGACGGGTCGTCTGACGCGGGGAGTTTTGCAGCATTGGATTAAGGATTGAATTTCACTCGCGCCTCAATTGTAGCCTCCGATCAGTTAGCCTCCTCTTGATTATTTCTACCAGTTTAAAGTCTATTTCGCCTTCACGGTCCCTAAACCCCAATGCTCTGAAAAATGAACGCTGAGAAGCACAACGCCACCTACCGTTCAATAGCTGTGCCCCTAAATGCGGCTTCTGCGCAGGACTTTTGTGCAATCCGGCACAAAATACTTTACAAAAAGTGTTACCACCCCAGCACGTTTTGTTGTCCCTTTCAGGTTTTATAAAACGCTTTATTACTCATAATAATGATATTTTTTTCCCGACATCAAGCCTGTCCAAGGAGAGTTAGGAAACAAGTGGCAAGTATTGGCGTGGCTTGATAATACAAGAATAAAAATCAACAAGACGTTGGGCCCCCTCATTAGAATTCAGCGCTCAATGCGTCAAAGTTGCCCTGTTACCCCACCGTTGTTTTGCACCTACATTGAAACATTATGTCTTTCGATACTGCAGAACGATATCATAGGTGGGTGTAGATTACAATCCTGAGAGGTCAAACTACTCGCATACCCTGATGATGCTGCGATATGTAGTACTTCTTTGAAGGTAATAAAGAATCACTAAGAGTTTCTAAATCATTAGCCGAAGTAACAGGAAGTCGCATAAATTGGAGTAAATGCATCGGCTTTTGGCATCGATCTTGGCCTTCAACTCCAGAATTCTTCGCAATCATTAAATGGAAAAAACACCATTTGGATAGATAGATAGATAGATAGATAGATAGATAGATAGATAGATAGATAGATAGATAGATAGATAGATAGATAGATAGATAGATAGATAGATAGATAGATAGATAGATAGATAGATAGATAGATAGACAGACAGACAGACAGACAGACAGACAGACAGACAGATAGATAGATAGACAGATAGATAGACAGATAGATTGATAGATATACAGATAGATAGATAGATAGATAGATAGATAGATGGATAGATAGATAGATAGATAGATAGATAGATAGATAGATAGATAGATAGATAGATAGATAGATAGATAGATAGATAGATAGATAGATAGATAGATAGATAGATAGATAGATAGATAGATAGATAGATAGATAGATAGATAGATAGATAGATAGATAGATAGATAGATAGATAGATAGATAGATAGATAGATAGATAGATAGATAGATAGATAGATAGATAGATAGATAATCACAGTCGCAGAAGTCCCATAAGACATGCTTCGAACTTACAGTAAGTGTAAAAGCCAACGAACAGTTAGCCAACTTTTGTTTTACCACACCGAGAAACTGCTTCGCATGGTGGCTTGAGAGTCATCAGCGCCAGAATTTTTTTATATAAGGAAATAGCTTTTAACTGACAGACTTATAATTGCAGTATTATTCAAAAACGGCTTTGTGTCCAAAATACACAGTTGGCACATTGATGCTCTTGAATTTTTTTTCTAAATTTTTTACAGTCTTTTATACCTTTCAGAACAAATCTCTTATTTTTAATGCGCACTGTTGCGAAGATCAATTGTCATGTCATTTTATACCCAACACTTCAGCATAGATTCAAATCTGCGGCATAAAAATATTTCCTGGACTACCCAAAAAGAACCAATTTTTCTGTGGTCGTGAAAACGTGCAACGACTCCGTACATGAAACGGAAACGAAAGTGGTTTGCATTAGCTGAAGTCACGTCAGTTGTTGCTGCTATGGTACACGCTCCGGAAACTGCACGTTAGTTTACACTACGCCTGGAAATAAATACCACTGTTGCTCTTAGAATTGGCGTAAAATTATTTATTTATTCATTGGTAGTGCACAGCGATCTATAGCCAATCAGTTTACTAGAAATATATTACCACCACCTCTAAGAATGTATGACCGCGAAAACGCGACAAGTGCGTAGCTTTTTCTCGTTTGCATTCATGCCGTAGGTGCAGGACTTGCAGTGCCTAGCCGCAGAGGGAGGCCGCGCAGCCGCCACCAATACCTCTCTCTGACTCGTGCGAAGCATGATCACCCCACAAGGCCTCCTCTGAAGGTACGACTCTAGCTTCAGGTTCAGCAAGAGGAACCGCTAAAGCCCCTGCAGTGAGAAAAAGACACGTTAGAATTCACTAAAATGCGCGAGCAGAGCACGGAAAAGCATGCTAGTCTGCCACTATCATACAACAACACTTATCAGAAAAGTTTATAGGTTCAAAGCAAAAAATCTTCGTTCCTGCAGTGTTTTTCCAATAACACGACATATTTGTTTTTTTTAATCGTAGCATTACAGTGACCACTCCAGCAAGACAGTAGAGCATGAAGTTGGAGTTGATTTGTTCATGCTTAGTTGTACTTGGCAATAAGAGCCCGTAAGAAATGGGCAGACTGCATTCGCACAGAAATCACTATTCATTTTTTTCTGTCACTGTTAAACTTCAAAGATACAGCGACGGGCGTGGCAGCGCTTTGTGGCCATCATCTCACGCTGCTAGGCTCAAAGATGCTGGCTTCCTTCCTGGCCACGGTTCCCGTACTTTGGAGGATTCAGGAGGTATGGTAATCGGTGTAGTAGGCTCAGGTGCATGAAAAGAAAGTCCCGTTGAGTGAACTTCCCAGCAAAATCTGTTGTGGGCTCGCAACAGTCAGTAGATTTCTGTGTCGTAGATGCCAAACATGTCCCACATGCTGATAATACCACCACTGATTTTTGTCAAAGGCATCCCTCACAATCAGAAAAAGACGTACTAATAGGATTCCAGCGGGATATCTGGAACAAGGCGCACTGTGTCGCAGCTCAGTAGTCTGAGCTGTCACACAGTGTGCCTTGACACACAGTAGTCTGAATATTCACAAATTCTTGCGAAAAAGTGAACAGCCTTCTCGACCATCACACGAAGAGCCACAAAAGTGGGCGAAATCACGGGGGTGAACTGTCCGAAGGACGGATCGTACGCCACGTCGCGGTAGACGATGAGCGGTCAGAGCTAGCGTGGGTATTGGATCGGGTTCTTCACTGAGTGAGACACGACGCACAGCAGTGGGCGAGCTTGTGTGGGCTGTCCGTTATGTGTGCCAGGATTGCTTAACTTGTCGATGCGCGGCGTTGCATGCGCCTGCCAGAGAGAAGCTTCCCGAAAAATTGGACAGGCCCCTGACAGATGGGCGTTCTTCACCGAAGGAAGGTCTGGACGTGCGGCTGTTGATAGTCCGTGCTGCTACTGCTCGCCCTTGGGGACGTGAAACAGGACCACCAGTGCCGTGAACACTGCGCCTGCGATGACCGTAAGCAGGCCGGACTGCCCGTCATCTTCTGTCTCTTGTTTTTCGACGGGGATGCCTGGGCGCTGCTCGGTGGCACCGTCGGTCATGGTGCCCCAGGTGTCTTCCTCCGGCTCGGTCTTTCTCAACCGCGCGCCCCGCCCGAGCTCCCGCAGACACGTGGATAGACAACGTAAACGATAAAGTGGTAAGACAAAATCTTTATGCACGCACAGAATGTTCCGTTCTTTTGGCAATTCATTACGGCTGGTTAAGAAGACAGAAAAAACGGCAATTCATTACGGCTGCTAAAAAAGACAGAAAACACACACACCCCATAAACTGCCTAACGTGTGGGGGTTTTATGCTTCTCAGCTATTACAAATGGCTCGGCCAGAATTCACCACTTGCAGCCACATCAACAACAAAGAGTGCAGCTACGTAAGTGCGCATACTTTCTAACTGACGCGTGGGGAGGGACTTGATACTGTGCAAAATGATAAGTTATGGCACAGTGGGTAGTTCCTTACTTCACAATAGGGTGTCTTACGGGAGAATAAATTACCTGCAACTACACCTGCAGAAGGTGGCACTCGCTATTGTGGTGCGGCAGATATTTTAGGAAAAATAGCAATTTTTGGGGCATTATAACGTCCCTAAACGACGCTATGATTGTGGAGACATTGTAGAGGCGGGAAACTTCAACAGCTTGGGGTTTCTTAACTTGAACCTGGCAACACTGCACCTGACTACTCTAGCATTTCAGCGTCCATCGAAAACGTGGCCGTCATGGCCAAGATTCAATCCAGCAGCCTTCGGGCCACCAGTCAAGCACCATAAGCACTACGCCACGGTGGATTACGCATGAAGGGATGACGAAACAAAGCACATATTATTTATCCAAAAAAATCCATCGCGCAACTGAAACTGATTTCCAAAGTCGTGTTTTGTCACCTATTACAAGAGTGCAAAGACGTCGTGAATGTCATGCACCGCGTTGCTTTTTGTGCATTTCATTGGTCCGCTGTAATTGTTTTTATTCTGCGAGTAATGACCTACGCTTACTATAGTGGGTACCTTCGCTGTGCAGACGGGCACCAGAACATGCGTAGAAACACACAGAGGGTGCTATCGTATGGTTTCACAACAGACAAAGCGGTGACGCCTCATCTCCAGTCTTTGCATGCAAATGCCTCAGTAGGCACAACAAAGACTAACTTAGGAGCAGCGGTTTCTAACAAGTTCCGAGATGACACGTGCGGTAAGAGGAGTGATCTATTTTGCGTGGCTACTAATATTAAGTTTGATACCATTAAAGAGAATGTAAAAAGTAGCGTTTTAAAACAATGTTATTATATGCAATAAGTTGGGTAAAGGTAATACTCGGATAGCCAATGTAAACCATAAAGTGGTAAGACAAAATCACTGATGTACGCTGAGCTCGTTCCGTTGTTTCGGAAATTCATTACGGCTGGTAAAGAAATAAAAAACACACGAAGCCAACACGTAATTAAAGAAATAATATAGTAACCTGGAAAGGCATGAAACAAGGTCTCACTGCTATGACGAACGTTTGTACCAGAAATTTCCACCATACGCGAAGTTGCAAAAGCAAATGCAAAATTTTGAAACTGAACTTGTCTTACTGGGACCTGGTTTTATTTTCTCGTGTAAAGCTTTTTCGACAAAGCAGTGTTATAGTAGTATATATACCACCATAATTTCCTCCAATTAGAATCTACCATTAGAGCCAAATCAGCGAGATACTGTAGCCTTTCAGGCTATGATCACGAATTTTCGACGTATAGAATCTTAGTCTTATAAGGTGAAAACTGAAGAAGGCCAATTCATTTTATTTTGATTAGGTGTAGTTATCAGAGAAGAAGACTTGTCGTGGAAACGTCGCGGCTGCATTTAAAAGTATCGTTACGCTTGGGTTGAAGAATGTCTCACTTATGTGCTAATTATGTTTTGTGAAGATTTTTGATGTGCTCCTTTAGAAAACACGTAGCATAACAAGAAACACTGCAGGAAAAACCGTGTTTGTGCCAGTCTTATCAGTTGCAATGATATCCTTTGCCAGTTGGGTTTGAGCTTGAAAGCTCAACAGTCGTTTCATGAATGTACCAGCTGTGGAAAAAACACCTCCTATTTACTTCGCAAATAAATTGGTGGTTTTTATCAATTACGTATGTTTTTGCATTTCACAAGTACTATTAGGCTATGAAACGTGTCACACTTTATTGTTTTCACATTGAATACCGTGTAAAAGAACCGACATCCGTGTCCACATCAATGCTACAATACACTACAAGCTATCAAGCGCATTGTGCAGTGGCTCAGTTTTTTTTCTTTGCTTACTTATAATGGTTCGTTCCAGCCTTTTGCTTGCTTTCTAAAAAAATATAGACAACTATCTATCTAGAACTGAAAAATGCATACGCCATGATTGTAGCATATCACCACAGTCATGAAGCATTGCTTATACTTTGCGGTAAGCAGAGTGAACAGGACATTTTGAATTGCCATAGCTCTGTGCAGCCCCATGTGAGACTTATGTTTCCTCAAACAATATGTCATAACATGCATGACTCCAAGAAAACTGAAATAAGACACAAGGCTTGTTGTGTGAATAATTTCATCTAGTTGTCTGTCAAATCAGCACGATTGAAATGCCCGAACGTTCGAATACTCTCTAATGAAATGGCCTTAACTCACCAAAGAAAAGGAGAGCACAAACGGCGATAATATTCATTGCCACGACAGCCTTCATGGTATTCCAATTCCTGCAATAACGTAAAGGGACATGCAAACGTTAAAACATTAATACATTAGCCCAAAATGTACGTAGCCACCATGAAATCACCTTATAAAGCAGATTAGAACGCAACGAGGTAAAAATGTGTTCATGAGCATTATAATGCAAATAACCCTTTCGGATAAAAGCTGTTCGAACGATTGTTCCGAGAGAAATATATTTATGCGTTGAAGTTATAAAAAGCCGAAAGTCGGTGCAACTGCCGTTCGACGTCCTTGCAAGACATCTCTGTGGTGCGGACAGTGGCGCTCGGAAACGGTTATGTCTATAAGAGCACCTAACTTGAGCATATAGGAAATATGATGTGATTGTTTCCTGACCGTCCAAGTTTAACTCTGCAGAGCTCCTGCACGATCTGTTGGCTTGAATGCAATAACAATGAGGTGGAATAATAAATGATATTCCGCAAGCTAAGTGAAATGCGGCTGCTCAGGTGCGGTACAAAAATGAAGATATTAGCACAAGTCCAATACAATAAAATGTCCAATACAATAAAAGAACATCAACTTGCCTGTACAATTATGCATATTTCGTTAAACTTACGACTTCAACTGATGAACCAACTCTACATGTGTTCTCGATTAAAATTACTTTTATTCTTTATGCTCAGTTCTGCATTCTTCCCATCATTTAAGTCATAGAAGAAATATCGAGAAGCGCTACTAGACAGGAGGCAAGAAAAGAACAGACGAGCAGAGGTACATACTAAAAACTGATTTTATTCAAGGCAGCTTCCGAGGTTTCTCTATCACTAAGTTGCGCAGTCACACCGCCACAACAACTAATACAAATGAAAACGAAAAGAAAAATCAAAGAAGAAAAGATCTGCCTAGATAAGTGCATATCAGAACAAAAATTGAAAATCAGGCAATTTAAATAACACGGGTCAATAATGCTGTTCATAGACGTAATTCTAACGGAGTACAATCCGTTGGGCGAAAGGTTGACTGAAGATATATACAGTAGCTTATGATGCTAACATCGAACTTGTAGCCGACACAAGACGAGCTCAGATAAGCACTCGTGCTATAGTGCAGGTGTTTTGTTTCCAAACTTGCAATACATGAAAGTAAAGTGAAAAACAATTTATTTGGGACTATGAAGAAAAACTGCAATATTTTATAGGCTTGTTCTTTTAAGGGATCACTTCCACTTCGGTGGATCAGCGGCTAGGGTACCTCACTGCTGACCAGAAGGTCCTGGGTCAGATTCCGGCCGCGGCGGTCGCATTTCGACGAAAGCGAAATGGTAGAGGCCCATGTGCTGTGCGAAGTTAGCGCACTTTAAAGAACACTAGATGGAGAAAATATTCGGTGCCCTTCGCTACGGTGTCTCACATAACGATATTTTGGATTCGAGACATAAAAACTCATATATTATTCCTATTCCACGGTGTCAAGTTTGTGTAAACCATATCCACTTGTCAGAGACTCAGAGCTTTCATCTCATGAAGACATAAATGCAGGTTACGTCGATATTTTATGTCTATAATACTGCTATGACTCAATATATTACGCCAGTCTTTACTCTCGTTTACCGTACTGTGTAGTGCGAAGGGCAAAAACGTCCATGCTATTCGTTAAGAGGCTCTACGTGTAGCCGAGGAAGATTCCCACACTATTTTTGAAAACATTTACGGTTACCTTAGCGAACTACGTAAACACCCACTGTTTAAAAGATATAGCAGTTTTTGACAAAGCGATGGTTACAGCGATAAATATCTGATTTACACTTAGCGAGAAACTGTTGATCCCACTCATTTTCTGGTTTGGTTTCATGCGAAACAATGAGGATGACCGCCGCCGTAGCTCAGTTGGTAAGACATCGGGCGTGTTATTGAAACATCGTAGGTTCCGTCCCTGCCGAAAACACGTTAGTCTACTTTCCTTTCTTGACATTTGCACCACCATTACTGCTAATAACATCTCCTATACTTTCCTTCACCACAGTGTATGTAAGTTCTCAATAATGCTTTATCAAACTTTGTGATTTGCATCATGCCAGTTTACATGTAGCTACACAGAGTGAGCTGTAATTAGGACCTATAGTAACTTTGGGATTATGTACTTTAACTGTGTTTCCAGCGCTCACGTCCTAGAAATTGTATCGTGCTAGCTTATTCTTTCTACCACTTTTTCTTGTATATGCACCATCAACAGCACGAATGAGTTAATTTGCTTCTACCATTTGCCTATTGATTAACTTGGAAAGCTCCTCCAGCTCTATTTTGTTCCTTGCATTCGAGTCTTTCATAGTTTCAAATCTCTTAATGCGGTTTTTCGTCTCCTGAGATAGTTTGCCAGTGTCCTGTCTAGTGACTATACTTCCGGCTTTCATAGCACACTATTTGATGATACTCGTAAGATTATCATTCATTGTGTCAACACTAGCGTCGGTTACGTCTTTAGAGCATATAATATGTTTTGATGCGATACTCTGAATTACTGTACTTCCCCCTTACTTCTAGCTCAATAATTGGCTTATTGCGTATCAGTTCATGCCTTTGATTTTTTTTATCTAGGTGAATACGAGCTCTTACCATTCTACGTACACTGCATCGTATCTTGCCAACTACTTCTACATCCTGTACAATGAGCGTGCACACAGAATTAAGTCAATTTCAGTTTTAGTTTTGCCATTAGGACTTCACCGCATCCACTTGCGGTTAGCCTGTTTTCTGAAAAAGATACTCAAGAACTCAAGATCCATAACTTACTACGTTCTGCTCACTCTACTAATAACTCCCTCTGGCATTTCTAGAGGCGATGCCATAAACCCCACTGCATAAACTCCGGCCTGTTTCTTGCCTACTTTGGCAATAAAACCCCTTCCCCCTCATTGGAGTAGTTAACTGTGTCTTTACTTTTTTAATGAGTGACTCTACGTGTTCATAGAAGCGTTCGACAAAATTGTCGGCATGGCTCGATGTAGGCGCGGAAGCCTGTGTCACCTTTATCTTGTACCTTTTGTTAAACCTAATAATGATACTTGCCACCCTCTCGCTGGTGCTATAGTATTTTTCTATGTTGTCAGCCTGATCTCGTGTATAAAAAACCCACCCCTAGTTCTTTTATGTCAACTAATCCAAGTAGCATATATCATGTCCCTTCTTCAGCACTTGTCTTCCAAACTTCGCTGAGCCACATTAGATTGAATTTAAAACCCTCTAATTCCTCGAATAGAAAGCAAGACTAGCCTCAATAGAAAGCTTTCTAGCGTTGAACGTAGCGACATTCAGATTCTAATGGCAGCCTGTCCAGACCGAGAGAATCTTAGCATGCTCCGCTGTGTCCCGTGTCTGACCGCCGCCTTGTACAGTTGCTTTGCAGCCGCTGGAGATTCGAACCAAGAGCTTTTTGGTACTTCCATAAAGAAAGTAGTGGCCAAGTAGTGCACCAGGGTGGCCGATCCTGTTCTGGCGAAGAAGTGCATCACCGGGTGGTCGCCAGTAAAGCCGTACCCCAGACCTCTTCTTTCTTTTATTTCTTTACGATGTTTAGCACCCGTTTTAAAAATATATACGATATAGAATGGGGCGACATCCGCATTCAAATCAAACTTTGTCATTGCATGCTAGAGTGTTGCGCTATCACCAAGTGTGGGGTTCTGTTGCACTTTCTTAGCACTGGAGAATACCACCTGACAGCCTACCAGCTCTCAACGGCACATGACTGGTAGCTCGCCTGGCTTTTTCTTAGCTGTTTGAGAGTCCATATTTCCAATAAAAAAGGCACGGCTTCGAAGCTCTCACCTTGCGAACTTAAGCCGACTTAAAGCCGCCGTGCAGCGTACTTTGCTTCATTGTAATAAATTTAAATCATCCCTTCGCGAGTATGACTCCCACTACAGATACGCTAGGAATACAGGAAGAGCGTCTTTTTTCTGTAAAACATTTTGTTGCGAATATAATAACGATGTATATATGAGCAGTTTGTCGTCACAATTGATTTTTATGGAACCCGACAAGGTGGTTTAGTGGTTTTAATTACCGACCACTGACCAGCAGATGACGTGATTGATTGATATGTGGGGTTTAACGTTTCAAAACCACCATACGATTATGAGAGACGTCGTAGTGGAGGGCTCCAGAAATTTCGACCGCCTGGAGTTCTTTGACGTGCACCCAAATCTGATCACAGGGGCCTACAGCATTTCCGCCTCCATTGGAAATGCAGCCGCCGCAGCTGGGATTCGAAACCACGATTTGCAGGTCAGCAGCCGAGCACCTCAGCCACTAGACCACTGTGGCGGGGCAGATGACGTGACTGAATCCCGGTCACAGTGACTGCATTTTCAATGTAGGCGAAAATGCTTGAGGCCCAGGATCTTCTATTTAGGTGCATGTTAAAGAAGCCCAAGTGTTAAAATTTTTCGGAGCCTTCCAGTGCTGCGTGTCTCATAATCATATGGTGAGCGCTCTAAGGACTTTACACCCAATCAATTATTCATTTGCATGGAAGTCAAACCACATTTTTAAGAAAGACGTAATATGATTGAAAACCATTGCTGTGCATTCGGTAATAATGCTGTTGAAGAAATACAAAGTGATTATGTTTCGGCCAGATCCATTATGTCTGTCCGACTACGGGCATGGTTTATTGACAACTATCTACAGGTGTGATCGTCGGGCCTCTCCCATCGGGTGGTAGGGGATTAGTTGCGCGAGTTATTTTTCGGTTGATCTGCAGGAAGGTGAGGTGGCCTTTGTTGTACGACACGAGTAATAGTTGTGCTATGCGTTAATGTAGTTTTACCTTGTAATATCACCTCGATTGGTTTATAAAGATTAACTACATTCTAAAACTATGTTTTTTTCACTATAAAGCACGTCAGTAGCTAGTTGCATGTCATCCTGCCTCCTTATATTTTAGTCTGATGTGTTAGTCGCACCTTCTGACATCAAGAATCTTTCATTCTTTCTTCCTAAAGACATGTCACACTGCAGCACACATTTTGTGAAGGCATACAGGCAATATAGAAATAACTGCATAGAATGTTGTGATCAATTTTAAAGCGGACATGTCAACTCACGTTAGGTAGAACGTAGTGCCGCAGAGTGCGTGTAGCGCACCTTACTCACCTGTATTTAAAGGCTCTATATTTTTGTAAAAACAAAATATCACACCGGAAATTATCTATTCAGGCCGCCGGCATGACGCTAAAGGGTGAAAGTCATGCAGCGCACGCCGCACTTGCGGACGGATGTTCAGAATTTTTCGTGGTGACAGTGCTCATTTGGAAAAGGAAGAGTCAGTGTAATGGTCAGAATATCAACTGCAAAAAGGCTCATAAATGAAAAAGTTCACAAAATTCCATTTAGATAGATATGATAAACATTCGTTTAGCCGAAGAACAGACCATTTTTATGTGGAATTTCATGTACACCATACAGTCAATAAATTGCGGTCGCCAATGGTAGAAGGCACCTCATTAAAAACTGCTAGTTTTAAATAACTTTTCATTTTTATGTTTTACAGCTTGAAAGCTGTCTAAGTGACTGAGTGTTGTGATGCACAGCTGCATATGTAGAAGCAATTAAGCCAGCGGTATATCAGCACACACAGCGGCACGTTGCCTAAATGAAAGTTTTTCGGGACATTCCGTCACGAAATGCACGAATTTTCCATCAAACACAGCTTTGGTAACTCATAATAAAACAACCACTGTATGGAAACTACTATCGTTTTAACTCGATATTGTTCGTCTAAGGAATGCATCAAACAAGCAGACAGGCAGGACATCAGTCCCAATAACAGGATGTTAGCAACGTGTGACGAGAATAGGTCGCTGGACAGTGGTTCAACGCTCCTGAACAAAATAAAAAAAAACACGGGATGTCAGTAAACAGGGCAGAAAGTTGTTTTCAAGAGGAAAGCACTTTTCTTTATTTTTGAAGAGCATGGGCTGAATAGTAGAGCGTCCCACTTCGCCTATTGCAAGTGCCAATTACTAATGCATGCGGAGTCGTAGGCGTATATGTTGGACTTTGCACGCCCGTGTTTACTGACAGTAAAGCTTCTAAGTGTACTGTTTTGATTAGGTAGAAACACAAATGTGGAAATTGGCACCTTGAGTAAGCGCTTAAAAGCCATATTAGGAATGCTTTGAGGGCATGAGTCGTGGTTTGAGCTAAAGCACTACACGTGCTCGGGCCTACCCAATAAGCCGGGCCCAGCCCAGCCAGTGGGCCGTACAAACTATATTTCACGGTGGGCCCGATCCAACCTCGGGTTTCAAGTTCCGGCCATAAGGCCACGCCAGGGTTTGAGATGGCGGGCTCTAGTCGTGTCGAGCTTAAGCTTGGCGCCCTAGAAATCTTGATTACCGACAGAGGCGTGGGCTTTACTGTGGATCTGATTCAGGCAATCTTGAGATACAGCCAAACAAGCACCCGTAAGTCTGTCGGCTACTACCCACAGAAAAATAGCCTCACTAAGCGTCTAAACAAGAAAATCGCCAACAGGCTGGCCATGTACGTCCACGTCGAGCACAAGACGTGGGATGCGATCCTTACATATGTCACCTTCGCACACAACACGGCCGACCAAGAAATGAGGCCGATAACGTCGTACAAGTTGGTCTATGTAAGGATCCCGGAAACAACGCTCGATACAATGATACCCAATGTCACTGACGAACAGGACGTCGACGTGACTGTCTACGTTCAGTGCGCCGAGGAAGCATGAAAACTCACCCGCATACGCAACAAGAATCAGCAGGCAACCGACAGCAGCCATTACAATCTACGATGCGACTTCATGTCGACACCAAAACACGGCCTGGCGACCGTGTTTGGGCGTGGACACCGATACTACTACGCGGTCTTTTAAAGACGATAGTCTTTTGGGGGAACTTCGAAGGAAAAATTTGGTCTGTCTGTCCATGCACTTGTCTGTTTGTCCACCTTTAAGGATACCTCAAACGGCTGACCTCATCCGCAGCGCCCACCACTATTGCTCAAGATTAAGTGGTCATAATTGTGCGATTGTCAATTCAAAAGCAATCATTGCACATATCTGAGGTACCGCAACAACACGTTCATGTTTCGTATGTGTGCCTTTATACCAGAGAAGGCACACGCAGGTAATTCTAAGGACCGTAGCGTCAAAAACACTGCGCTGACAGTGCAACATGGCGCTCAAAAATGCAAGTGTTACCAACGCTTTGCTGAAACCATACGGTGGTGGCACGTCCCCGTCGCTTTAGGTTCTACACCTTATCGCCTTCGAGAATGGCACGCATGTTTCTCCACAGGCGCGCACGCCTTCCTTCGTTTTCGAAGATAACTGCCAGATGGCGCTCGTGTGTAACGTGCCTCGATGCGCTCGTTCAACTCCGCTGCATGCTCGAGGCACTCTAACGCAGCGCCTTGAGAAAACCATTTACCGCTTTTCTTGCGCAAAACATCAACAAAATGTTTTCTTCACTCCCTTCAGACGCAAGACTGTCGTCTTTTGACGGCATTTGCAGTGTAACATGTAGATCTCAGTCAATTTTTACTCTTACATTTATCTGACTTGCGAGAACGGACTTTGTACTTCTCAGGCAAGTCAAGTTTGATGTGGCCAAAATTTTCGGTTGTCTCTTCCATGAAAAGTCTTAAGTTTATGATTAGGAGCTGCACGCCTGTAAGGCTCGGCCTATCTTTGTGAAGGAAGGTCGTGAAGGGGCCAAGAACTTGCAGCGAAATGCCTCGCCGCGGTGGTCGAGTGACTAAGGCACTAAGCTGCTAATCCGCACGTCGCGGCATCGTATTCCGGCTGCGGCAACTGCATTTTCAATGGAGGCGAAACCGCTGTATGCCCGTGGGCACAGATTTTAATGCAAGTTTAAGAACCCCAGGTGGTCGAAATTCCCGGAGTCCTCCAATATGGCGTCTCTCAAATATATGGTAGTTTTCGGACGTTAAACCTCTGCATATAAATCAATAAACCTGCAGCCAAGTAAGTATTAGACTCAGAAGATGAACAGAGAGCTGAGCGAAGCACAGAGAGAGACAGAGAGAGTAAGCATTCATTCATGCCTTAAGTGCATCATCCCTCACCAAGTCGAGTGAACATAAAATGATTGATAGCTTTCACGCACAGGCAACGCGTCTTTTATATGTAGGTTATCCTCATGTTGCAGTGGCCACTGTCACTGCATATTTCCCAAAATTCGTTATTTTAAGTACAAGCATGCTTGCCGAAAGCAATGGGGAAAATATGCAGATCCCACGTACGGGGAGGAGCGGTGATACACAAAGAACGCATGAGGAAGGTTGATAGGTCACTTTAAAATCAGCACAATGTTACGAGGTGGCAGTAAATTATGCCGTACACAACTTCCGTGCCATTATTATCTTGTTTGTATGTGTCATTTAACCTCGTCATCTATTCACGTCACCTGATGCGAAATTTAGTATATGTGTAGCTAGCGAAACGGCCGCGAACGTGCTATCAGCGTAGCATGTAGTCAACTTTTAGATCACACGCATGCCCTGATTATCGTGTTTGCACCTGTCATTTACCTTGGTCGTCTATCAACGTCACGTAATACCAAATTTGGCATATGTAAAGCTAGGAAAATGACCGCGAGCGAATCATGAATGTGGCATGTACATGTTGTTACATGACATGCATGTTGTGCTTATTATGTTTGGACGTTTCATTTACCTGTGTTGTCCGTTGACGTCACGTAATACCAAATTTCATACACAAGAAGCTAGCAAAATGGCCGCAAGGGCATTATTATCGTAGCATATAGTCATGCTGTTACATGCCACACATCTAATGATTATAAAGTTCACTCCACTCACGTGCCTTTGTCAGCTATTCACGTCCAGTAATGCCGAATTTGGTATATGCGAAGCGAACGAAACCATAGCCGTATGGGTAATCCTTTCAATATTCCTTTTAGGCGTGGCCGCTTTTACGTTTCGCAGACGTGTCACTCAATTAACCAGAGAGTATTGGAACATGAAAGATTACTAACCGGAAGCTCACCTTTTAGTCTATTTTTACATTGTCGAGAACGTAAGCCACCAAAAATTTGATAAGGGCGTAGTTTTGTACGGTCATAAGAATGAAGGAACGTGTCTAGTTATTGAGGATGGCACATCAATAAACAGGACTAACGCGTGCGTGAGTCAACCTTCGATTAACCCTCATGAAGAAAAAAATGGAATCTCTGAAGGGTTGTCTATCACGTAGACAACATAGGTGAACCTATCAACCTGTGTGCCAGATTGATAGGTTTGCCTTTAGCATGGGCATGCGCTGATAAGCTTTTTCCTACTCCGCTGTTGTGCCCCTCTACAGTTGTGACTCGGCTTTTATGGTGTCTTGACATCTTTATTGCGTCTGTGTTCGCACCACTTTTTTCGGAGGGGGGGGGGGGGGGGCGGTGCCGTAAGCACTCAGTCGCCCTTGATTCACCATGCTACAGCTTTTTTTTTCCAAGGTGCAACACATAGGCTGCAGCTTGTATTCTGTGCTCTAGTTGTAGAAAACGGAGACAAAATTGTGCGCTGATGATGATGATTATTATTATGATGATGATGATATGTTAGGTTTAACATCCCGAAATCACCATATATTTGAGAGATGCCGTAGTTCAGGACCTATGAAATTTGGACCACTTGGGGTTCTTTGACGTGCGTTAAAATTTGAGCCCATGGGCATGCAGCATTTTCGCCTCCATCGAAAATGCAGCAGCCGCAGCCGGGGTTTGACCCCGCGGCCTGCGGGTCAGCAGCCGAGTGCCTTAGCCACTAGACCACCGCGACGGGGCTGAGTTGTGTCCTACTGATCAGCTTTCCATGTCTTGAAGAGACGATCCGCGGAAGGTTTTCGACTCCTGAGTTGCTGTAGCATAATTGATGTAGGCGTCATTGTGGCTACCATCATTCCTACTGTTAACGTCAAGACCTTGGGCATGTTGTCAGAAAAAGGGGCACATAACGGGGTTGTAATCTTTGCTTACTGCTTCTATAGTATCATGATCCGTCAGGAAGTTTGTGAGTTGGCGGCTTCAACTTTTCGCCCGATACTTGAATGAACAAGGCGGCCACA